TAGGAATTATCCAGGTGCACATTATTATTTTTGTTGCGATCTAATTAATAGTTTGTTTTTTGTCAGGTATTGCATCAAACCATTTCATTTAGGCTTAATCTTATCGACTTCATATTAATTTTAAAATGTAACATTTTGTTGCTACAATTATTATCAGTAGCAGTTGTTGTCATTATAAAACAGTTCTTAATGCTGACAGAGCTGTTGTATTTATTACAAGTATACCCCAAGACAGTACAACAGGAGGGTAGACTTACACATAGTGGAGGGTAATGTGGTGCATATACAGTTACTGTCTGAAAGCATACATGTATACGTATATAGTGTCTTCTTAATAACTTTAATATTTTACATTATTCTGACTTTGTGTTTGAAGTACTTGTGATTGTGAATACCCTTTTGAACCATGCCCACCATCTTGCCTCCACTCTTGCTGACAAGGTGGTGTGCGTGTAATAACAGTTGATAATTTCATATTTCAGAATCAGGTGACAGGAGGCGTGACCTTGGTCATGTCATGGATTTCATTGCAAGACTCAAGTACCTCAAGGTTAGCTCTGACACAAACATTGGAGTACACCATAGTGAAAATATGCAAATTACAAACTAAAAAATAACTGAAATTAGATTTTCAGTACTTTTGCTGCATTGTCTAAAAGTAAATTTCTTTGCTGTTCGTATTTTTTGCATGACATTAAAAAGTGGGTCTTGACTTCAATTTCCTTAAATGTACATAAGTAACACATCTTTTTGTTGATCAGAGTTTTATGTTTTGTCTAACTACACATTTCAATAATGACTTGCCATCTTTGTAACCTTAGTAATGAGTCTCAGAATGATTTAATATTTGTAATTACACATTTAGTATGTCCATATAGCATTCATTCTGGTGATGGTATAAAGTACAGTCACATAATATGCAAATTATACATAATATGGCTTATAAATAATATGATTTTATTTGTGCTGAGTCATCCATTACTCATTTTGCAGGTTACCAAATAATAGTCACCCCAAGGTAGTTTATTATAAAGTGTATATTACACTAGTATGTATGCATGTTTTATTGGAACTAGACTAAATACCTAATACTGTTGTACATTTCCTTGCAGATAACAGGCTTTGATGGAGCACTAGGTACAAGCAGTAGAACTGTCAATGAACTGCCTTTTGATATGTCAATTTTTAAAGCACTAATACAAGTTCAAGTAAGTTTATTCACTACATCTGAGTTATTCCCAATATTTTCTAATGTTTTTGAATGACCCACCATTGTTTACTATGTATACTTGTATTGTTTGCCTTGAAAAGATGTCTTGTTACAAACAACTATGAGTAACACTTTATTTTGCATAATTGACTCATGTGTGCGAAGCACAAAAGGGAGTCTTTGCAGTTACCCTGTCTGTATGTCTGTATGTCTGTATGTATGTATGTATGTATGTATGTATGTCACTTTTTTTGTTCCACCGTTATCTCAAGAACCACTAATCAAATTTTGGTAAAACTTGGTACATAGATGCTCTGGGATAATGCGCAGAGTTGATTAGGTTTTGGTAAAAATCTATGAATATTAATTACCTAATTTGCATGATAATTAGCTGATTTTTAGCTGTTCCAAGACTGTTCCACTGATATCTGAACAACCACTCATTGGATTTTGATGAAATTTGGCACATGGATGCTCTGATCTAATGCGCATATTTCATTAGTTTTGGGTAAAAATCTATGAATATTAAATGCCTAATTTGCATGATAATTAACTGATTTTAAGCTGTTCTATGACTGTTCCACTGATTTTTGAAGAACCACTCATTGGATTTCAATGAAACTTGGCACATGGATGCTCTGAACCAATGCGCAGATTTGATTAGTTTTGGGTAAAAATCTGTTAATATTATTAATTACCTAATTTACATAATGCTTAATCAATTTTCGGCTAATCATAACATTTTAGTTTTTAGGGTAATATCAGTACATATTAATTACCTAATTTGCATAATTAATTAATTTTCAGCTTTTGATATTTCGAGTAGTAATGATCACGTTTCAATGAAACTTAGTACATAGTTACTTGAGGACTGTGCAGAGACCTAATTAGTTTCTGGGTAAACATTTGTGCATATTAATCACCTTATTAGCATAATTAATTAATTTTCAGCTTTTCACCTGATATCTCAAGTACTAATCATCACATTTCAATGAGACTTGCGACATAGATATTCTAGGACTATGCAGAGACCTGATTAATTTTGGGATAAATAATTGTGCCTATTGATTACCTAATTTGCATAATTAGTTAATTTTTTGCTGTTCTATGATGTCTAAAAACCATTCATTGGATTTCAATGAAACTTTTAAAGAGTACCCATCACATTTCAATGAACGTAAGACTATGCACCATATTAGTTTTTGGTAAATATTTATGCTTCTTAATCATCTAATTAACATAATTAATACTGATATCTCAAGTATTGATCATCACATTTGAATAAAACTTGGTACATAAATGCTCTAGGACAATAGACAGTCTGATTAATTTTGGGTTAAAATCTGTTCATATTAATTCTCTAATTAGCATAATAATTAATATTTTTTTGGTTCTTATCACATTTCAATGAAACTTGGTACATTGTGCAGACATTATTAGTTTTACACTTAAATCTGTTCATATTAGTTACCTTATTTGCATAATTAGTTTTCAGCTATTCCATCAATATCTCAAGTATAAGTAATTTTGAATTAATTTTTAATGTGTCTCCAAAACTCTCAGCACACGGGAGTTCTTTCTAAGCTTTCTTTGATTTTTCTTTGTGTTTTGCAGATTTGTTTTTAATATAATATTTGTACTTCATTTTTTTCTTAGCTTTCTATTATAATTACCCACCTGATGTTGTTGCTCTTCATTGAAATTGAATAATAATTAAAGTAAAAATAAATGTTAGATTCTGCATGTTAATTGATTTTATTTCATAGTTGAACATGTATCAAGTAACATGATTAACCTTTGCATTGTACAAAATCTTCTTTTCATTTCATATTTACAGG